GCTCATCAGAGAAGGGAGACCAGATAAATAAATTGTGCTATATTCATACATAGAAAACAAAAAGAATGAACTCAAGCTAATGCTAAGCAGGAGTAGCAAGTTGCAGAGGAATATCATTTATGTAAGATTTTGAAAAACACGTAAACCAATTATATTTATTTCTAGATTTTACTTGAAACCTCTTTATCAGTATTTTAGGCAAAATTCTCACCAGCTTGTTTCTTTGGTCTCCCAATTTACAATAGATTAGAAGGAGCAAATGACAAAAAGTTAGTTAGATGCAATAAGTGACCCACTAGCGAAGATGGAAGGGACACAGAACTACCAAATTTGACACAGAAAAGGATAAAAAAACATATGAATTTAGGTAAAATTAATGCAGGATAAACAGTCTTATGCCAAAACAGCAGTGAATTCCCCTATTAAGGCAGCATTTGATAACTGATGTTTATGATTAAGACTTTGCACCATAAAAAATCAATTTAAATTTTATTTGGTATATTGTTTTTTATATAAAAAAAGGAGAGTATTTTAAGATGTTCATGAAAATGTTTATGATGTAAAAAAAAATCTTTGGAAACTAGAAGAGGTAAGCTTTATGTATATGGAAAGTTCTCTTATGTGGAACACTTTATACTTGTTTGAATAAAGAATTAGTATAGAGTGAAACAGAAGATAATGGTTTGAGAGAGAAATNTTGTTCAAATAGTTTAAAATTTTTACCAAAATTTAATAAATTTATTAAGCCCTCACTTGAGCAACATAGTCTTCTCTCACAAAGTAGTGAGAAAAGAAATTTGTAGGAAGGAAAAAATGAGGAGCTGAAGAAAGTGAGTAACAAGTCAAATTAAATAATATTTCTCAATTTCATAGCCCTGGTCTCATTTGAGTTTCACAGTAAGCCCTGTGAGGTAGAATGAGGGCTCAGAGAATGTAAATGCATTGCAGATCAGGAGTCTGGAACTAAATTAAAAAGCCATAGGATTGTTCCTCTGAATAGACAGTATTCATGAGTTAATGTCTAATTTTGTTTTTTTAAAGTTCTGTTTAACAAATTCATGGCACGGTCTCTGTTTTAAGAAATATAAATACACATTAGTTAGCCCTACAAAAGTTTAACATTTATGTTACATACATGCTTGATATTATGGGAAACCTAATCTTTTACTAAAAATAAATGTGAAATGCTTTTTTCTCTCCCTAAAAACCAATTAGTACTACATAAAATTAAAACTAGATAATGTGAAAATGAATTTTTAATAGAGTTGCACATTTTCTAACATTAACCTTCAGCAATGATCAGGCATCAGGTTCTGATGCTATCATGCCTCTAGCAACCAGATCTCTTAAACCACTAACTTCATGGGGTCCTCACTCTTTGAGTTTATTAATGAATGATGCTAAAAGGTGTCTCCTTACCTTTGCACTTAAAAGAAAATCCATTTCTTACTTATCCAGTCATTGTTTATTAAATCATTGGCCTATAAAAATCTGTAAAAGAATACAAGGGATATTTACTCTTTTAATGAAATGGAAGAAGAAAGTCATATCACACTATAATTTTAAACAGATTGTACCTGATCAGAAGTTTGCTTAGGATGTTGTCATTTTATATTGTAGGAGACCCAAAATATACTACCCCAAAATACACCTTTTTGGCATAAGGATTATTTTGAGGCTGCGTTGGTTGTCTGAGATGAGGAAAATTCATAATGACCACTTCATTTAGTGCTTAGAGGAAGCTTTAGTATTACTAATATTCCTTAACTTTCTAATTTCTAAAATATAGAGCTTTGCACTGCTTATAACCTCATGCTCCCAATTCCTGCAAAAGGATAAAAGGAATTTTACTGGAGTTCTTTTGTTTTAAATCAGAAAGTCAGGGCTCTTTAATAATGAAGATATTTTTAGCCTCATTATATAAGTGAACTCTTTTGTGCTTTATAATACCACTGTTTAATGATCATTGAAAAAATTTTGATGGTACTGCATTAATACAGTATATAACAAGATGACCAGTCTATATAACTAGCTTTTAGCTTCATTTTCAAATTAATTTAAGTGAAAAGGAATGGCTGTCAGTAAAATAGAGATTAAGTTCTTTTGTTGTTCAGAGAAGCTTCCTTTATAAATTACTTTTTTTTNGGAAGTTATTATAGTAGTTTAGTCAAGAAGCAAAGAAAACATGAAGTAGTGTTGTGGAAATAGGAAGGACACGATGGATTAAAAGTCTCTCTACCTGTACAGCATTAAGGAGTTTAACTTTTCTAGGGACTTGTCTTTTTATTTAGTTCATATAAAGAAAAACCATAAATGGGGAAAAGACCACGAGTTTAACTTTTCTAGGGACTTGTCTTTTTATTTAGTTCATGTAAAGAAAAACTGTAAATGGGGAAAAGACCACCTGCTAATAAGTTCCTTTTCCTTTGCAGTGTACCATGGTATGAATATTGACTTTTAATTTTGTCTGTATTTAAATTCAAATTTTCTGTTAATTTAAATAGAGGATTGGCTGACAGTTCACTTTTTTAAAAAGCAAAACTTTTACTTTTTTGGAGTAAAAATTTCCATATAAATGTATAATATAATAAAATGTATAAATATGATTGAACAGAGTTTGCTTAACCTAGAGCTGTTATTTGTTTTTAATATTTTTTTATTTTTCAATTACAGTTAACATACAATATTATATTAGTTTCAGGTGTACAACATAGTGATTAGACATTTATACAACTTATGAAGTGGTCATCCTGATAAATCCAGTGCCCATCTGATATCATACGTAGTTATTACAATATTATTGACTGTGTTCCTTATGCTGTACTTTATTTACATCCCTGTGACTATTTTGTAACTACCAGTTTGTACTTTTTAATCCCTTCCCCCTTTCACCCATCCCCTCAGCACCTCCTCCCATGTGGCAACCATCAAAATGTTCTCTGTATCTATGAGCCTGTTCTGTTGTTTGTTTGTTTATTTTGTTATTTAGATTCCACATATAAGTAAAATTATATATTTGTCTTTATCTGACTGACTTACTCCACTCAGCATAGTACCCTTTAGGTCCATTCATGTTGTTGCATATGGCAAGATTTCATGCTTTTTTTATGGCTGAGTAATATTCTGTTGTATATATGTATCACCTCTTCTTTATCCATTCATCCATTGATGGACACCCAGGCTGTAGGAAAGCTGTTTTTAAGTATTCTTAAGCCCTTCAGAAAAATCTACTGATACAGAAAAAAAATGTTAATTATAAATAATTTTTAATTTTTAATTTTTAATTTTTTAAAGATTTTATTGGGGATCTGGGGGAGGGAAACAGCATTGGGGAATCGAGGAAGGGGAACAGACAAGTTGCTGTCCTTTTGTTCTTCAGTCTAGTTGTAGAGGATGGCTTCACTGGCCCATGTTGGTATTATTATTGCGCTCTTCCCAGGTGAGGCAGATCTGTCGCTGGCCACTGGACGGCCGCTCACAGTGGCTCTAGNTGAATTATAAAAGGTAGCCTTTCAAAAACCTACCTTATTGGTTTTTGTTTTCTTCACCTCTGGTTCTAAAATGTTGGTCTTGGAACTTTCCTAGTGGCAGTGTGGGGCGAGCTTGGAACGCCGGTAAAATCATAGTTTTGAAACTTGCTTAAAAAGTCAGTAATACCTCCAAATAGATGTAAACATGTTTAGGATATAGGTGTGTATGATTTCCTCTTTAATAAATGTGATAACACAGAATTACGAATTTCTCTGAGAATAATAAAAGCTATTAGATGAACATTCTTCCAAAATATGTTCTGCTAGATGTTAATAGATGAACCATAAAAAAATGTTTAGTGTTAGCCATAAAATAGACTGAAATGTTACTATTTGTGACAACATGGATGGACCTAGAGTACGGTATTATGTTAAGTGAAATAAGTCAGACCAAGACAAATACCATATTATCTCACTTATAGGTGGAATCTAAAGAACAAAATAAACGAACAATCAAAATAGAAACAGAATCATAGATGCAGAGAACAGCCTGATGGTTTCCAGAGGGGTGGGGGATTGGTGAGCTGGGTGAAAAAGGTGAAGAGATTAAGAAACATAAACTGGTAGTTACAAAATAGTCATGGAGATGAAAAGCACAGCATAGAGAATATAGTCAGTAATGTTGTAACAACTATGTATAGTGCCAGGTGGGTAGTAGACTAATGGGGGGTAGGGGGACAGAGATCACTGCATAAATTATATAAATATTTAACCACTATGCTGTACTCCTGAAACTAATGTAAAAAAACACTGAATGTCAACTGTAACTGAAAAAAATAAATGAACAATTTAAAAAAGGTTTAGTGTTCTAAAAGGTTGGGAAATGCTTTACTATAGGACTTCAGAATTTTAGTGGACTAATGTACATTGTGAAACTCCAAGTGGTAGCTTTTGTATACAGCCTTTACCGAACCTATTTGACCAGGAGCTCTTTGGTTTAAGAGATTAGTGTTCTGATGAATGTATTTTAGGGAAATTGCATTTTTCTTGGGATGTTAGTTCCAAATATTTTTTCCTAGTTTGCTTTTGTCTTTTTGTTGTGCTTTTTTTTGTTATGAAGAAAATTTTAATTTTTATGTTGTTAGATTTATCAAAATGTTTTTAATAGCTTGTGGATTTTGTGTCACATTAGAAGGCCTTTTCCTACTTTATTATTTTTAAAAATTCTCCTGTGATTTCTTTTAGTACTTTTATGTTTTTTATTTCTATGTCTAATGTATATGCATTTTAAATTTTAATGTAAATAGCTAAATTAAATTACCCTATCAAGGTTCTGTGCTCAAGTTTTGATTGAACATATTTAGCTAAATGCACAATTATCCTGCAAAAAACAGGCAGTGGGCTGTTTCTTGTGGCAGAACTAAAGGAAGACTTAGTTTCTCTGTCAAATAGATGGTGAGGGTAACATTGTAGGGGCTACATCAGTTTAATTTCCTTAATTTTTCCTTTCTCTTCCATTCGGATGCTCAGTTAATAACATTTCTTCAGGCTACAAGGTAAAGGATAAAATGAATAGAAAGCAAAGTTATGAACTGAATCTTCAGAAAACTTGGTCCTGAAAAGATAAGTGTCAGTCCTGGAAATGGCAAAGACTGAGATTCGCTAACAAAGTTATCTTATATCTATTATATCTTTGGTATTAGTCCCTTTTTGTTGTCTAGAAAGGCCTGGATTTCAAGCCTTGGGATAAGGGGATTGTGTGGGGATGTAGTTTTCTAGAGCCTTTTCCTTTCCCATTGATAAAGTCCTCTCTGTCTCAAAAAAGGCAGACTTCAGTGTTGAAGTCAGCACAGGCAAGGACATATTTTATTTAATTTGGTGAAAGGATAGAGGAGAGGAGATATATAAATGACAAGATGATTTAGGAACTTTTCTGTATTTTGGCATCAGTAATTTAGCACAAGAGCTAGTGTTGTTTTCACTTAACAGTGGCTAGTGTAGTCATTTTCAAAATTTAGGGGCAACTAGAAAGTGCCAAATATTTTGTTATGTGCTTTACATACCAAGACTCTAATCCTTGAGACCTGTAATACAGGTTAGAGGTTTTCTAGATGATGAAATTGAGGCTCAGTGATTTAGTAACCTGTCCGACAGTGCAGCTCAGCACTTGACCATGCTGTATTGTTTCCTGTCCTCCAGGAGGGCAGGTAGCTTACATGAAAGAGATGTAATGATTATTGCATGTATTATATGTGCCTTTGACATTTTAGGGGAGCATGCACAGCCTTCTACAATTAAGAAATTATTCAGAAGTATGCAAAAACTGTCGCGAAGCATACAAAACTTTGAGTAATCTGTTCAATGAAATGAAAAAAATGAATGAGCATGAGAATAAGGCTGAACCTGGAACACATTTATGCATTGACGTGGAAGATGCAGTAAGTATTTAGCTTCTGATATGATACATATTTTGTAGTGTTGTTGAACGTGCCTTCAGTATTATCCCTTTCAGAGGTATATTGGAATCTGTATATGCTGTCTTTAACCAGAAATAACTAGTTATAAAGTACTAAAGTGTTTGAATATCCTAATCTGTCAAACTGAAATGGAAATTAGTCAAGCATTTCATAAGTGAATTGATAATTTGGTTATGTGTATATATATATATATATATATATATATATATATATTTTAAGTTTGATAATGTAGGTCATTTTCCAAGATGTGGGCATTACATGTTTACATTTCAGTTTCTTATGTACATGTTACTAATTCAAGAAGTCTCTAGGTTTTATTTCTGATGTCATTCCTCACTTCTTATCCCATTGCTTTATTTCTTTATGTATATTACTATCTGAAATTTTTTATTTATTTACTTATTTGTAGCCTGTCTCCTGTCACTAAAATAGAAGTCTCATGAGGACAATGACCTCATGTCCTTTTTTGCTCAGTGTTCAGTATTTAGAACAGTGTCTGGCATACAGCAGGCCCTTAGTACTATGTATTGAGTGAATGAATGGTCAACAAAAAAGCTTTTCTCTCCATTGTCTAGCCTGCCTTTACACAGGGCACCACGAGATGGCAACCATGCCTTTTTTTGAGACTATGATGCCTGAGTATTGAGGCATTAGAGGAAACTGAGAAATTATTAGCTAAAAGTAGAGAACTCAAGGTCAAAATTGACAAACTTACTGGTTGAGAATGATGAGTATGAGTTATCATAGCAGCTCAGCATGAGCTATAGTGGATCAGTAATATTCAGGATGGCAAAAAGCACTTAAGGTAGATGCACCATGGGGATTATTTTTGTTTTTTCACTGCTTTATACCTAATGTCTAGAATAGTTCCTGGCTTCTAGGAGGCTCTCAATAAATTATCTATATATATATATAGACAAATATATATATATAGATATATATAAATATATATATATATAGATAGATAAATATATATATATATATATAGATAGATAGATATTTAAAGTAATAGTCTATTTTATTGTTTTTAAAATAAAGAAGAAAAATAAATATTGGTTCTATGATAGTGGGATTACACAGGAAAATCAACATGACCACCTATTTTAAAACAAAACTTACAATCAACATACAGTGCACCATTTGCAAACCGTATCTCAAACAAAACCCAGGCAAGAACAGTTTTAAACCTTAAATTTGATAATGTCCTTATGTTATTTAGCCTGTTTAATAGACAAAAACCAGGAACTCAAGGTACTGCTGCCCTTAAAGGTATCTGTTTCTATTTAATTCTGCTAAATAAGATATCAATATTGTCTAATAAAGTTTCTATGACTAATTAGGTATCATGTATTTAAAAAATTATTTGTCATGAATGTGAACCTCTGATAATATTTAGATAAGATATTAAGCATTTCATAGATAGAGAAGCCCTATAAAGTTGATATTTTTATTTTCATTCTAAAAATATTGTAATCTTAGAAATTACATATGTGACATATGAAAAAAAATGTTTTGTTTTTGTGAACCTTTTACCCCCAGTTTAATTGAGGTATAATTGAAAAATAAAATTGTAATATATGTAAAGTGTATATCATGATAATTTGATATACGTGTACATTGTAAGAGGATTTCTACAGTCGAGTTAATTAACACATATCCATCACCTCCCATAGTTACCCTTTTACATCTTTTTTAATGAATGAAGCATGAACGAACTATATTCCTATTGATAGAATTTCTTTGTTTGAAATCTACTGAAGATTGACATTCTTTGGACAGTATTATGAATTTAGATTATGAAATCTGTGTGGATATAAATTTAAACAATGACTAATTGTGAACCAGCTTATTTCTCTAGCAGAAGAAAATTTCCTCAACTATCAATAGATTTTTTTTAGGGATGCATTTTTGGTATAAATCCTTGGTCCCTAGTAAGTTATTAACAAAATAATTATATGAAATTGAAGACAAATTAAATATAAGACAGAATAATATTATTTGTTATTGTTCCAGATGAACATTACTCGAAAACTTTGGAGTCGGACTTTCAACTGTTCAGTCCCGTGCAGTGACACCGTGCCTGTAATTGCTGTTTCTGTGTTCATTCTTTTTTTACCCATTGTCTTCTACCTTAGTAGCTTTCTTCACTCGGAGCAAAAGAAACGCAAACTCATCCTACGTAAGTTTCTCTTTACAACTGCTCATTTATTTAGATAAAAACCTGCATTTTAAAAATTTAGTCCTGTTTTAGAAATTTAGTCCTGTCATATACTTAGGGAACTCAAAACTGTATTAGCCTAAAACAGCACTCTGCTTCAAATTTTACAATTATGCTTACTAATGGAAGAGATTCATAAGAAGTTTACAAGTGCAGATAATCAAATGTCAACATACAGCATCTTTCAGATGCTTTAATTGAGAGACTAAAGCTAGATTTCCTGGAAAAACGTTGGCAACAGCAGAGGAATTGCAACAGAGACTTCTCAGACCTGCAGTGGCCACAGCAGGGAGATAGAGACAGCTCTTAGGCCCACTGGAGCCATGGCAGAACCATATAAAAGTGCAGCAGGCAAGGAGAAACTATAGCTTACACACAGACAATTTGTTTATTGAACAAATTGAAATTGCAGTTGCAAGAGCATTGCTCAGCATACTGCATATGCTCAATATACACTGCTTTACTTTCTCCCTGTCCAATAGGGCAGAGCAGAGAAAGCACTAATTAGAAAATTCCATTTAGCTAAGAAGGGTGGCTTCTAAGTCTCATGGGTTTCTTGTTTATTATCCAAATGAAAGTATGGGCTTATCTTTTAGTAATTTTAATTTTTAAAAGAGAAAATGTTTTTCGGGGGAAAAAAGTTAGGCTTTTCTTTTTTTTTGTCTCAAATATTTTATTCCTAGTATAGAAACCTGTGACATAAAAACTCTTTCATCTGTAAATTTATTTCTAGCACTTCTTTATGGTTTATCTAACTTTGTTTCTAATATAGCTAAGTTAAAAATAAAGGTTACCTGTAGATCAGTTTGAACGGAATTTGTAATATCTTATCTCCTTAAAAAGCTAGCTGCTAGAGGGGAGAGTTTTTATCATGTGTGAATGTAGTAAAGCTTTTTGAAGATTGCTAGTAGTCCATAAATATAATAATAACTCAGTCCTAAAAGCACTTATTTAGACTAATAACAAATTATTGCAGGAATCTCACTGTTGAGAAACTTTATATTTCAGGGCTTGGTGTACTTTTAAACTTTAGCATCTTATGTGCCTTGCAAATCTGTTATCTCTAGGGAAGACATTTACTGCTTCTGATCAGGGTTTTTGTTTGTTTTCACAGTAAAAATCACTACCACCTATCTGTTTGTGAAAGCCACAAACCTTGTTCTCTTTTAATTTCTTGATTCTTATTTTTTCTTTTATTTCCCCATTCCCACATTCCCTACCCCACCCCTTTTCAATTTATCCACAAGTACTGCCAATACTACTTCCAAAAATATATCTTACATTGTGTGTCCTCTACCTGCAACTGGTAATACTCTAGTCCAGGCCATCATCACCTCTTATCTGCGCCAACGCAGGAGTCTCTTAACTGGTACCCATGCTTTCATTTGTTGACCCCTATAGTCTATTCTCCATATAGTGGCTGGAGTAAATTTTTAAATGCAAATTTTGCTGTGCTCCTCTCCAACTTGAACTCCTTTATGTGTCCCTGTTGCACCTAGATTAAATCCAAACTTATTTCCAGGGTCTACTCCAAGCTGTGTGTGACCTGGCCCCTAGCCACCTTTCTAACCTATTGCATCCACCCCTCTCCTTGCTTACGAGGTGTGTGTAGGCAGTCTGGCCTTCTTTCTGCGCCTCTTGCATACCCAGCTCATTCATGCTTCCCTTCTCCAAGGCTCTTGTACTTGCCCTCCCCACTTTCCTTGACTAGCGCCTTGTCTAACTAATGTCTTAGGTCAAAGGTTAATTACTCAGAGACCTTTTATGATGCTCCCCACTTAAGAATACACCCTTCTTTTAATTTTCTGTAATATTTTCCTTATAACGGTACTTAATCACTATTTAACGTTTTCATTTATTTTCTACCTTATTTGTCTTCCCTGAGTCAACTGTAAGTGCCATTAGAACAAGGATTTTGTTTGTCTTGTTTACCAATGTATCACCCGCATCTAGAAAGTACCTGACCCATAGTAGGTGCTCAAAAATATTTTTTGAATAAAAATATACTTAATGTTAGAATTTCCTAGAGTGTGTTCCTCAAAATACTAGTCCTGTGTATTATTTTTTATGAGCTTCATAAGGTAGCTGACTGAATATAAATTAAGCCTCTGAGATTACATTCCCAAAACTTGACAGTAGAAGTTTTGCATAATACCTGTTAATGTTTCACTGAAGCATTGTTTCTGAATTAAGTTATGAATTTAAGGACATGCTGGTGTAAGCAAACAGTTCTTGTGCTGTTATGTCATAGACATTTTTATTTACTTCTCTTTATGCCACCATTTTATATGCCCCCATTCATGAAGTCCTGTGGTAGGAAGTAGGAATTAAAAAAAGGAACAGCACACAATACAGCAAGTCCTTGAATAACATTGTCATTTCATTATAACATCGATGAAATGCTACTGATGAGATGCCATAGGAATGCAACTGCTGTTAATATCAGTTAGCTTATGGTAAAATTGGTTTTGTTGTACATCATTTCTCTTAAAGTAGCAGAACCTGTGGATGATGTTAAGTGAGGACTTGCTGTACATGCCCTCAAAGAACCCACTGACCATAATGCAGTTATTACAACAGATGTAGTAGAGGCATGTACAGTGTGCTTGGCCCACAGAGGAGGATCAGGCTAACTGTATTACGGGTGTCAGAATTCACCAGTACATGATCTCTGGGGTAAAATTTTAAAGAATGTAGGGATTTATCAGAGAATAAGGAAGCAAGGAAGTTGTGGGTATAACTACTCATTGATGTTGCTGGTTAGTTTAATAAATTTGCTAATTAGTCAGTAAGAAACTAGATTATGTGTAGTAATTTTAAACAATATAATTGAAAAAAAATTTTTTTTTTTTAGCTGAGCCATCCTGCCACCTGTTGGCAGCTCAGCCCGGGCCGGGACTCGAACTGCTGTTGCTCAGAGCTCAAACTCTTGAGCGAGCTCTTAACCAACTGAGCCACTCAGCCGGCCCTGAAAAAATTTTTTTGATTTAGTTTGCCTCCCAAGTCCACTGAAGGCTTAAGATACTTTTTAGTTTAGGATGAAGCAATACCTGGTTTAGGAACTCATGTTGTCACCTTGCACTTAGAGTGATGGTCAGGGGGGACCCTGGTAGAAACAGTGGTTCTCCTTGACCATGTATTAGACGTGTCTGCAGAGCTTGAAACAAAGGCAAATAAACAAACAAAAAACTTAGATGCCTGGTGTGTTCCAAGGCAGACCTTCTAGATCATAACCTCTGCTTTAGTGTTCAGAACCTCTGAACTGAAATTGGGAGATTCCTACTTATCCAATGTAAGGCACTTTCCCCAGGGCACCATTGTTTTTCATTTTTCTGGAACATGAGAAACATTCATGTTTAACTGAAAGTACAAAACATATTACCTAGCCAAATAGCCATGATTTTCTTTATTAACTCTAATGACTCAGTCCCATTAGCACCTTAATCAAAATTGATTCTACATATTTTATGAGAAGACATATATGTTTGTATATGCGTTTGTGTATTGTGTAATATACAATTCACTTTTCTTTATAAGCCATTTAATTTTTTTTTAACACTATAGAGTTCTTTCACTAACTTCTTTGAAGAGAAATTTAGATTTGGATTTCTTAGACTTTTCAATATGTAATTTTATTACTATACCTTATAACACTTGCATTTTTTGAGTACTTCCACCTATATTACGTATTTAAGATTGTTATGTTCAATATGTTATATTTGGTACTGCTTATAACAAAGTCATGTACAGCTTCTATTCTAGCAAAGTTAGGTATTTTTGAGGGTGGCAGAAAAAAATAGACTTAGGTTTTAATTCTTAGAAGATGTAATCTATTCTGATTCAAACATAGGATTAATAGATAAATACTATAGTGCACATAAAAATAGTGAATAATCATTTTAGAGAATTGAATTTAAGTTAAAATTTAATACTTTTGATTTACATAGCCAAACGTCTTAAGTCCAGTACCAGCTTTGCAAACATTCAAGAAAATTCAAACTGAAGCCTACAAAAGGGAGAATTAACATCATATCCCATGGATGAATGGTGGAAGACACAGCTTGGTCCAAAAGAAGATAAAGTTCTTAAGAAATGCAAGGACTTCAGATTTATTTTTAAATAAGACTTTTCAATTTTTCTTTTCCACCCCCTTTTTAAGGGTTTGGGTATTTTTAATTTACAGGCATAGCAATGTTGTCTATTTTAAAGTGCATTTGTTACAATAACAAAAGATGCAAGAACAATCATTGTTTTATTTTGTAGGCATATTATTACTATTTGAGTCTTCTGGTATTTCCCTGTTAACATAATATTGCAAGTAGCAAAGTTTTTGAAAACATTTAAAAATCAGTTATAGCAAGGACTTTGAAAAAGAAATATACTTGCCAAAAAGTAGCAGGTCCAAAGATGAATTTAAATTACCATTGCAGTATTATTGTTACATATATATTTAACATGTCATACGTTATAAATAATATGTAATTCAATCTCTAGCTTCCTTAAAGTCATTTTTGAAACCACTAATTATAAACCTCTCTAAGAATTTTTAGAAGTGGGAAAGCACATTACATTTATCTTTGTAAAAAGATTTATGGTAACTGGTTTCTTACTTGACTTTTATAAATAGTATTTTACACCTTATTTTTGCCTTTGTTTCATACAAAATTTGAAATCACTGGACTGCTTTATTATATTCAGGGCAAGATGGATTCTTTTTATACCAGGGATTTGCATTGTGAATTACATTAAGTTATTTGGCAATTTATAATTTATTACTACTTTAAATCAGATGTATAAATACAATTGTCACACTGTATTTAAATGGAGATTTTCTCTTGAGATATATGAGGATTTTTGAAGAGGAGAGAAAGGAGGAGTAAAAGTAGTGTAAGGTTTAGAAAATAGACAGGGACCTGAGGGGAAGCTCACGATAAGACTGTTAAATAGTTCATATTAGGGGCATGAATCAGAATGAGAGCCTGATATAGAAAGCAGTTAGGTTAAGATGATGCTTATTTTTTTCTAAATTATTTAAATCAGATAAAAGTGATATGATTGATATGAAGTGAAATATTTCACTCACAGAAAACATCCTATTTTGGAATATTTGTATCAATTTTTTTAAAAAGTTTCATTTCAGAATTGTTTACAGTTTTTTTCCCTCAGGTTTTTAGTGTTAGGTATTTCATTTGTTAATTCCTTTTTGCTTTCTTGGTGGAAATAGGTTTTGTTTTAAATGTTGAGATTATGAAGGCTACTCTATATAGAAACAAGTTTGGTTAAGTGGTATGAGACTTTAAATACCTTCATATACTGTAAAATGCTCTATACAGAGACAAGGAAGTGTTTTGCTATTATTTTTTAATGTTTACCATATAGGCAGAGGGCTCATTCTTGGATATGTAACATATCCACAAGTGGTTACAGTTTTTCTAGTCTGCTGTGACCCATTAAACATGTGCTGGAGTTGTTCTGTCCTTACTGTTCCTGCTGCTGATACTAATAGCACTGTCTTGATTTGAAGCATATAGTTGAAAGTCATTGAAAGCAATCTTTAATTAATGCAGATAAACCACTTTACACATGTGCAAAGGTACAAAATGGCATATTCAATACTGTAAGTAGTGACTCTCAGCACTTTTGAATATTATGTATTTTTTAAAGCCATTACTTTTGGATCTGTTTGCTAATGAGCACTTTAAAAAAGAAAAAGCAGCCTTTACTATTTTTCTGGTTGAGTCATTGCTCTTTAGAAGTAGCATCAGCAATAGATTTCAAAAATAAGTACTAAGCACTACACTAAAGTGTGTAAACATTTCATTATTTCGTCATATTGAAAAGTTCTTTGCATAGTTCTGAATTCTTCGATGCATAGCATATGTGTGTGCACAAGAACATCTTTAGTTTTTTTTGAAACTTTGAAATAAAGGACATAGCTTAAGGAAACTGCAGTGCTGTATTTGATTTTTAAATACATTTTTAAAACTTCAGATGTAATTAAACATCACATTATAGTTTTTCAGGTATTGAGTTTAAATGCCTACTTTAAAAGTACCATCTATCTTATAATTTTGCTGCAAATAAAAATGTACTTTTGAATTTTGTTGTTGTTGTTGGATTTGAGAGGTAGGAATCGCATCAGCTATTTGTAAGTTTAACTCTAAATCAATGAATAGCACCAGAATTTAGTTGGTAAATGTTACTTCTAATGGGACCAGTATTTTCTAATGTTTCATGGATGGGCTCTACTTTTTACTGCAGTGTCCTCCTTATAAAGTGAAATGTTTTCCTAGGAACACTTTATTGCTGGTGATGTCTAGAACAATATTGTAGTTGGGTTGCATTTCTGACCAAAGTCTTGACATCAGATAAACAATAGACATCACCAACAATAAACTATTAGAGCAAAAATATATTAGTAACCTATGTAACAATTTAAAATAGAGACAGTTATGTTCCAAGTACATTTATTTTCTGAGATAGAAGAAACCGTAGAGGTCATTTGGTCATGGAATCCTAGAACTGAATGGATCCCTAAAGACCACTTAATCCAACCTTCTCTCTACTGCATGGATTCCCTCTAACAAGTATATCACTTACTTCCTATCTTAACTAAGGAAGCAGAACATCATAGAGCTCCATATTTATGACTGAGCCATTGTTTGATAGCTCTGAAATTGAGACTTGAGATGCCTAATAAAATATTTTCTCAATGCTCCACTCTGCTTATCTTGTAAAAATTTCATAAAAATTGATTATTTTTATTATTATTTTAAAAAAGATTTTATTGGGGAATTTGGGGAGGGGAGCAGCGCTGGGGAATTGGGGCAAGGGGAACAGACAAGTTGCTGTCGTTTTGTTCTTCAGTCTAGTTGTGGAGGACGTTGCTTTACTGGCCCAAGTTGGCACCATCATTGCGCTCTTCCCGGTGAGGCAGATCAGTATCCGGCTTCTGGACGGCCGCTCACTGCAGCTGCTGGCCGCTCACGCTGGCTGCTGGCTACACACGGTAGCCCATTGCAACCCACTGCCACAGGGGCTGCAGCCTACGCCAGCATCCCACGGCAGCCCAGCTCCAGGTTGAGCTGTTGTTCAGCATCTTAGCTGTGGAGGGCAGTGTCACTGGCCCTCATATGTGGGATCCAAACCAGGGCCCTCTGGCATCCCAAGGCAGTTCTTAACCAACGCACCACTCGGCCGGCCCCATAAAAATTGATTATAAAAAGGGCTTTGGCCTATGCTGAATTATACGCGTAGCACATAAAAGTTACAACTTTACCAAGTTTGCTTGTTCTAAACTATTTCATTAGGTATAATAAACATTAGTTATACATATAACACATTGAATGACCAGTAATTTTCTTTGTCTCCTTGGAACTTGAGGGCTTTTAAAAGATTATACGACGGACTCATGCTTCTTAAAGTAAGGAGGGTTTCAATAATTATTTTAAAACCTGTTTTTCAAAACTATGATAAACAGAGGTATTTAAAAAAAAATCCATCCCAGTACCCAGATGCAATCAAAATATTTCAGACCTTTAAAAGGAACAATAAGCCCATTTTAGCTAGGTATTGTAGTAATTCCTCAATAGTCTTAAATATCAGGATTGTATCCAAAAGACTTGCCCAATAGCATTGGAAGTGAAAACAATTCAACAATTATAATTTCTAGAATAATTGTAGACAACTGCAGTGTAGATAGGCAAGACTGAAAATGATGACCTTATCCTGTTTTCACTTCTGCATCAGAAGAGCAATCAGAATAAGTTAGGAGAAGGTTTCTGCTCATTGTATCATGTGCCTTTAGAGACAGAGGCCTTGCAGTCATTCCTATTTCCAGAGGGGACCAGAGCTATTTCTTCCCTTTTCTCTCTCCTGTTAGTACCTCATTCTTCTACATTCATTTGTAGTGCTATTACCAGTAATGTAATAGGAGCTGAGATACAAAGGGCTTGACCTTGACTTTTGAAAATCCTCTTTATATCCTGGCTGTTCTCTACTAAGGCACAGTGTTTATTTACCAGTCAAAATCCAACATCCCCCTCAACACTTACATACATGCTTTCTCTCATTGCTTTTCTCCTATGGATTTGAAGAAAGAATTACTGCGGTGTGGGCAAACAGCATAAGGATATAAAGAGGGTGGGTGAACAAGAAGATTCTCCAGACTGAATCTCCTCTCCCGTCACACCTTCACCCTGTGATACCCAAATGTCTATATAGGAGGGACCTGGGAGTGCTGGCTACATGGAAAAGGGGAGTTGGGGGTCGCTTGTCTTGAAGCTGTATGTGCATGGTAAAGTCACTGTGTATTACTAGATTGTATACTTCCTGGGGGAGGCTTTTGGGAAATGATGGATGTTATGAAGGGGCTAAAGCTCTCTTCGACAATACTGCTTGGCACCCTTTGCCCACCATCCACTCCTGGGACCAGGGGACAGGAAGGTTTTGTGCCACTTCTCCAGGTTCCAAGAAATAAAGCAAAGAACAAGATTGATAATTATGGTATGGAAACCATAAAAAGGAACCAAACCCCAAACCAAAAAATATACTAGTGAAATTAACTCAATGGAAGGGTTTTATAGCAAGTAAGACATAGTTGAAGAGAATTAATATATTAGAAGAATATCTCCAAAAGGAAAGATGGAGAGAAAAAAGTTTGGAAGTACAGATGTGGGGTAAGAGACACAGGGAATGTAGTAAGAAGATTTAATAGAAATTTATTTAGAGTTCCTAAAGCAAAGGAGAGAGAATATGGGCCAGAAGCAATCTTCAAAAAGATAATAGCTGCGAATTTTCTAAAACTGGTGAAAAACATGGTCACAAATTAAGAAGCCCAAGCAGAATTTAAAACAAACAAAAAGACCTAGTCACATTCACAGTAAATGAAAACCAAAGAGAAAATCTTACAAAACAGCTAGAAAAAAACTGATACTACCTTCAGAAGAGCAATAGTTGGTTTCTCAAGAGAAATAATGAACACCAGGAAGCAAATGGAATATTTTCAAAGTGCTAGAAGAAAGTAACTGACAATCTAGAATTCTTTGCATGGCAAAAAATTTTCTTCAAAATGAAAAGGGAAATAAAGACATCTGGACATAAAGACAGAGAATGATCACAAACAGGCCTGCAGTAAAGGAAATACTAATACTAAAGACAGGTCTTTGGGCAGAAGCAAAATGAACCTAAATGGAAAATCAGAGGAGTGAGAAGAAAAGATTGATGAAAGAATAACATACATAGATGAATCTAAATAAATATTGACTGTATATAACAATGATGCCCTGCACAGGTTAAAAATTATATATAGAGAGAATGAAAATACACAAGGACATAAAAGTCAAGAGGAGCTTCCTGGAGTTAAAACGTTTTAAGAGCATCACATTATCTGGAAAGAAGGTTCCTTCTTTAGGCTGTTCCTGGAAGTAAAATGACGGTCAAGTGGGTACAGGTAAAGAATTTTGTTGTTCTTAAGTTTCGTTGAAGGTATATTCTGACTCAGATCCAGTTCCACTCTTTTCATGACATCTTTTATGATCCTCTTCTGCTCTTGACTCTTTGTATTTCTTAAGGAAGCAACTTGCCATAAAGGAAAAAAAGCAAGGGCTTTCGAATCAGACCTGGTTTTAAACTCCTGCTTTTCCCCTTACTTGGACAAGCAATTTACTTCTCTGAGCCTTCACTTCCCCATCTGTGAAACAGGAGGCAATAATACTGGTCTCACAAGTTAAATGAGATTCAGTACATGAAGAGCCTGCAGTGCAGGGCCCAATGCCTAGAACTTCATACTGCTCTGTAAGTACTAGCCTTTTTCCTTATGGACTGCACTATACACAAATTGCCCTGTGCATTTTGACACTTGGTTATATACCCTTTCACATGTTTCCTAGGTTTCTATGTTTGTTGTTAGTATCCCTCCTCTCTGACTGGATTGTAACCATCTCCAGTTCAGGGACTATTATCTTCTTTCCCTTCGTACCCCTAGTTCAATGAATGATGTTTGGAGTCAGTAACACCTGTTTGAGGAAAGCACGTGTAAATGAGATAAAATACCTTCCTGAGCTACACATTTTGTTGGAAGGTGTCTTTGTAGCAGGTCATTGCAGAATGATGTTTAAGATCTTGAATTAAAGTGCTTCAGCTGCCCACGAAAGCTTAAATGGTGAAAAATCACTAATTAATGGGAAAAGAGAGATGCTCCCTTACCATTCAGGAAACTGCAGTTTAAGCCCTGACAATTCCAGGCAGAGCCAGTGCTGAGTATCATGGATTGCTGCCCTTAAAACTAGCATATCAAGTCATATATAATACCTTTTCTGGGCAAGAGTCCCATCTACTTAATCTCTGCTAAATGAGTGTATATTAGATCTGACTGTTGAAAAATACCAAGTTAAATCAGTTAAAAAAAAACCAAAACAGCATGATGCCCATAACTGGTTTAATTTATCTTTCAGTAATCCCACACATACCCATTTATTTGCTGTAATGAACATGCCATTCAGCTAAAATAAGATTAACTGCTTAAACTGTGGCAGAGAACTTTAATGCCGCTTTGTGTTTTATTGTAAGGTTCAGCAGTTAAACGATATGGCGTTGTTCCTTCCTCTGTAATCAAGACGGTTTTACTTAGAATTAGCGCTCCCCAGCCGATTCTCCCGATGGAACATTTGCAGCAGCACATTTATATGTCTAGGTTACAGCCTAGCAGCAATAACAATGTTCAGAATCAAACCTGTTGGCCTCATCAGCACTCAAATGGCACTGCTCTTTGTGTAGCCCCCTCTGCTCTGATGGTGATGGAAATCCTGCCTGCCATGCAGACTGTGGGGGAAAGTTGGAAGGGGGCTTGGCTATGCACCTGGAAAAGACCACTGTGATGACTCAAGTGGGATCAGAGTTCAGAAAATCAACCCAGCTTCACCCCAAGTGAATGAACTTTTGCCTGTTCGCTGTGTCAAGGTCAAATCCCATTTCAGTGATTTCAGTGTAGCTTTCTAGGCTGGTCCATCCCCACTCATCTTTTTTTTTTTTTAAACTAATTACAATTATACCTCTCCCTACATTACTTAAGGCTGATTATTTATGACGTATATAATTTA